GCCCCCCGGGGGGCCCCCCGGGGGGCCCCCGGGGGCCCCCGCCCCGCTGGGGGCCCCCAGGGGGGCCCCCATGGTGCCCCCCAGTGGGGCCCCCAAGGGGGCCTCTAAGGGGGGCGCCCCTAGGGGGACCCCCCGGGGGGCCCCTGGTGGGGGGGCCCCTAGGGGGCCCCACGCGGGGGTGCCCCCGTGGGGGCCCCCGGGGTCAGCCAAGCGCCGGGGGGCCTCAGGGGACACGGAGTGGGGGACAGACAGGGGGGCCCCCAGGGGGGCCTCCGATTGAGGGGAAGTTGAAGGGATTGGGGGGGCCCCCAAGGGAGGGGCTGTAGGCTGAGGCAGCTGCTGCTCGTCCATTCAGGCTCGTGGGTGGCCTGCGTCTCTCCATGAAGGTTTTAATGTCTTTTAAAATAATATTTAATTATTATTTTTGATTTAATAATGCAAATTTGCTCGCTTTCTAACGCGAGGACTCTCGAGCCCGCCGCCGACAGCACGGGGGCCCCCTGCAGTTGCTGCTGCAGGAACAATCTCCAGCAAATTATGTTCAACAGCTGGTAAACGGATAAGAATTAACAAAAACTATATGTTTTAATTGTATTTAGTTATTTAAATGCTAGTTAAGTTAAAGACAAACTCTTATGTGGAGTCCTGTGTGCCACCAACCGCCGGCCGCCGTCTCGATGCTGTCTGTACACCCCGTGGCTCTGCCCCGAAGGCAGACAGGAAGGGCTGAGCTGAAGGAGTAATTGAGTTTAAAATAATAAACAAAGTAATCTGAAAATGATAAATAAGAAAAATGAGCAGCATCTAGAACCACAACCTCTTTGTGCCTCACCCCATAGATTCTGAGGTGTATGTACACCCGGCATTTCTTTCGCTTGGCGTCCACAGTAACCCCTAAGGCCACATCATTTGCGTTTAAACAAGTTCTAAATTTGCATTAAATGTTAATTATTAATAATTGCAGAGTCAGTGAAGTACTATTGTCGCGAAGCGGCGGCACCCACACGCCGCAGGCACCCTCTTCCTTCGTCTAAAACCCTGTCATTGGGTTTGGCGCCTGCGGCGGGCACTGCCCTCCTTCCAGCACGCCCTGTAAGGCTCGAAGCCTCCAAAACCCTAAAAAAGGGTTTGGCAGCAGCGGCAGCGCGGCGTGGTGGCTAATGTCTGTGTCTGTGCACGGCTGGAGTGTTCCAAGCCCTAATTTAGGGTTTACAGCAGCTGCGGTGTCTCGAGCCCGGGCCTGCGGGCTGCCTCCGCTGCGTGTCCATGTGTCGCGCGCCAAACCCTAATTTAGGGTTTGTGCGTTGCTGCGTGGGCGCGCGGCGGGGGCGCTGCGCGTTTACGGGCTCGAAGCCGCAAATCAGGGGCCGCGGGCCACCCCTGCGCGCAAACCCTAATTTAGGGTTTGGAGCCCCCGGCCGCAGCGAGCGCCCGCTGCTGCAGCGCCCTGTAGGGCTCGAAGAGCTGCTGCACCTCGCCCCACACCTCCCCTATGGGCCGCCCGGCCTGCAGCAGCTGGAAGCAGCCAGCAGCACGAAAAGCAGCAGCAATTGGAAGAGTTTCTTTTTGGAAAGTTTTCAATCTCTTCTGTACAGACACCGCGTTGTCGTCGGCCCTTCCGCTCGTCCTTCCTCTCTCCAGAATCCGCCGCAGCATTTCTGCTTCCGGACACTCGAAAAACAGCAGCAGCAGCGGCTTCACGAAGCTCCCGCTGCTGCTGCTGCTGCTGCTGCTGCTGGTGTTGCTGCTGTTGCTGCTGCTGCCGCAGCGGCGCCGCAGCTCCGCGGTCAGCTCCTCGAGGTCCGCCGCAGCTGCAGCAGCAGGCTCTGCTGCAGCAGGCTCCGCTGCTGCTGCCGCTGCTGCTGCTGCTGCTGCTGCTGCTGCTGCTTCCAAACCCTCCTCAAAGTCCCCTTTTGAGGGTTTGTACCCCATGCGACTTAAAGCCTCTTTGCACTTTTCCACAAAAGACAAATCCGAAGAGTAGGCCCGCGAGAGCCGCAGGATTTCCCGCGGCAAGTTCGCCTCGCTCGTCATCTGACAAACAAACCCTAAACCCTAAACCCTAAACCCTAAACCCTCAACCCTGGACTTTGAACTCAAACGACCGACAGAGGCAGCCAGGCAGCGGGCGGGGAGCCCGAACTTCGCCCCAAAGACTCGGGGGCGGGCGTTTACTAGCCGACGCTAGGGTTTAGGGTTTAGGGCTTAGGGTTTAGGGTTTAGGGTTTACGGAGAGCCAGCCCGCCAAGTTGTCGACATTTCTCGGAAATCCATCAATCAAAAATAAACCCCGAAAATTCGCCAGCAGCATTTTGCGCAGCAGCAGCGTCATGGTGATGCGCACCGGCACGATGCGCCCTGCGCCGCAAACCCTAAACCCTAAACCCTAATTCCTAAACCCTAAACCCTAAACCCTACGCCGCAAACCCCAAACCCTGGATTCTAGGGCTTAAACCCTATGTCTGGAAGAGTGAAATCAAAGGGTCAAATGCGCTCACTCGCGCACTCTCAAGTAGGGTTTACAGCCTGGGGCACCACCCTAGGGTTTAGGGCTTAGCGATTAGGGTTTAGGGTTTACGGACTAGGGTTTAGGGTTTAGGGTTTGAAAGCACCTTCTCTGATGCAGTCGTCAATCAGCTTGCTGTAAGGGCTGTCGGGGTTCGATTGCTCCTCACGCAGACAGTCCCCTGGGCACAAACCCTAAACCCTAGACCCTAAACCCTAAACCCTAAACCCTAAACTCTAAACCCTAAACCCCAGAGCAGGTGAGCCAGGATACAACGACATCAAGGCAGCCGCATAGCGGCATTCGCTGCAACCGTAAGCCCCAAACTCCAAGCCATAAACCCTAAACCCCAAACCCTAAACCCTAAACCCTAAACCCTAAACCCTAAACCCTACCTGCGGATATATGCGGTATAGAGAACTCGCGAGACACTAAGCTGCATTGCGTGCCTTTGCCGGCGCCGGGGCCCCCGAGGACGAAAACCTGCATGCAGAATGCTGCAGCAAGGGTTTAGAGTTTAGGGTTTAGGGTTTAGGGTTTGGGGTTTGCCCGGAGGCCTTGTGGCGGCAGCCCTACCGTCTGCGGGAAATCCATCTTCTCTGGAGCAGCGAAGCTTCTGCTTCGTGCTGCTGCTGCTGCTGCTGCTGACCTTGCTGCTGCTGCTGCTGCTGCAGCTGATCCTGCTGCTGCTGCTGCTGCTGCTGCTGCGCTATAAAAGGGCCTCTGTAGCCTCAGGGCCGAAGGGCCCACGAACATAAGAGGGAAGCCGGAGCTGCGGTTTGCTGCTGGCAGCAGCGAGCTCAAAGTACCACGCAGCTGCAGCAGCAGCAGCAACAGCAGCAGCAGCAGCCTAGGGACACAGTAAAAGGCCCTTATGCTGCGCTGCATTCAGGAGGCACTGAAGGCCGCAAGAAGACAGGCAGCAGAGGCTCAGGAGTATATACACCCCGAAGCCAGAGAATCTATCTGCTGCTGCTGCTGCTGCTGCTGCTGCTGCGCTTTGCTGCTGCTGCTGTTGCTGTCGCCGCAGCATGCACTGGGGCTGCGCTGCCCGCCCACACAGCCAAACCCTAAACCCTCAAACCTAAACCCTAGCAGCAGGAAATGTTTAGAGAGGCCTTTTGGGCGAGGAAAGATGCAAGTTGGAAGGCCCGCGAGGGTTTAGGGTTTAGGTTTTAGGGTTTACGGCGTGTGCAGCACGTCACAGCACACGAGACGACCGCCCAACGCAACCAAGCCCTAAGCCCTAAACCCTCGAGAACAAACCCTAAACCCTAAACCCTAAATGCTTCAATTTATCAAATTAAACCCTTTCATTTCAGTTTTAATTCTTCTATTTCCCAATTTCCAAAAGACTCCTCGGGCCGTCGGCAGCCCGCCCGCCGCCCGGCCCGGACAGCGGGGAATAAGTGAAATGAAAACAAATAAATAAATAGATAAATAAATAAATAAATAATTTACTTATTTATATATTTATTTATTTTGAAATAGAAAAGAATATATTCGAGAGCAAAGAGGGGCTCCGGGTCGCAACGGCAGCCTGAGCGAGCCGCAGCCTACCAGCTGCAGCAAACCCTAAACCCTAAACCCTAATTGTTGCTGCCGTATTTCTTGCTGATCTGCTGCAACCGGAAACCTGGTACTGGGTGCTGCAGTTGCTTCTAAACCCTAAACCCTAAATTGGTGAAATAAATAAACGGAAATGCAAGTTGCAAGTAAGGCGTGGGTGTACGTATACACCGCAAACCCTAAACCCTAAACCCTTTCAAACTCCCATGCAGCAGCAGCCAACGTGTTCCACTTGCTGCTGCTGCTTCTACTGCTGCAGCTTTTGCTTCTGTTGCTGTTTATGCTTTTGGGGCTTTTGCTGCTGTGGAGGCCCTGCAGCAGCAGCAGCTACTTTTCGTTTGCGTGGCTTCTCTACTACTGCTGCCTTTTGTGTTTCCCTGCTGCTGCTGCTGCTGCTGTTGCTGTTGCTGCTGGCTTTACTCTTCTTATGGGGGGGCTCCTGCTGTTGCTGCTGCTGCTGCTGCTCGCATGGGCGCCCTTGCTGCTGCTCCTCTTGCGGTTCCCTCTTGACCTGCAGCAAACCCCTTCCTGCTGCTGCTGCTGCTGCTGCTGCTGTGGGGTCCTTCATTGCTGCCAGCAGCTGCTGCGGAGAGCTGCAGCAGCTGCTGAGCCTCCACGGCACTTCTCTGGAAGCAGCAAGTTGGGGAGAAAACATAAAGACAACAAAATAAATAAATCCAAATTAAATTAAATAAATAAATAATAAATAATATTAATTAGTTTTAAAATTAAAATAATATAAATCTTCATTACGGCAGCCGCCGGCCCCCGCTGCTATCAAATCCTCAGAAGCGAACACAACGTGCAGCAGCAGCAGCAGCAGCAGCAAGAGCAGCAGCAGCAACAGCAGTTGCAACGGTAATAGCAG